AAAGCCCCAGACGCCCAAAGGGACCCCAAGAACGAAGGCACCAAGGAGGGGCCAGCCTTGGAAGTCTGACCCCAACCAAGGGAGGATGAGAGACAGCCCCGACGAAGTCCCACAGCCACCGCGATGCCGGAGACCCCGGGAGCTGCGGGGACAAGTCCGCGGGCTCCCCTGGCAGCCAGCCCTCCCGAAGTAAATCCGGCCCTGGACCCCAGAGATCCAAGGCCCCAGGGGCGCCCGACCCCCCGGCAGGGGCCCCAGCCGGCCGAGCCCCGCGGAGATGCCGCCAGGAATGAGCCAGTAGCCACCCGGGCATCGACCCCCAAACCAGAGCTCCACCAGTGCACCGGCGAGCCCTTGCGCAAGCCAGCGGAGGGAGAGCAGGATGGGGGGAATCGGCTCTGCACTTGGCGAAGTGCCCAGCCCCCCTCCACCCCCCCTCACCAAGTATTTCACCCAGCTATTACACGCCCCTCCCTCGAACCTTCTTTGGGGAGAGCAGAAGTGACTGGACCAAGACCACAGACAAGGCGGCTCGCTCTTCCTCCAGGCCCCAGGTTGCAGGGAGGACCGGGGTCTTCTCACACCCCTGTTCCCCGGGTGGCAGCCAGGGAACAGGGGTGTGAGAAGACCCCGATCCTCCCTGCAACCGCTGGAATGTGGTGTTGTTGCGTGTTGCTCTCAAGTGAAATTAAAACTGGGAGTACCAAAAGGGGTTGTCCAACACATGCCCCCAACGCCCCCCCCCCCACCCCATGAGAAAGGCCCCCAAAACCCTCAATGTCTAAATGTGAAAGGGGGTGGGGGGAGCCGACCGTGGTGATTAAATAAGCCCCACCAGTCGCACCACCGGGGGCCAGGGGACCGGCGGCAGGGCCCACAAGCCAACACCCCCCCATCCTAAATAAAAAAGGGGAGACAACTCTGGCTGGCCAGCCCGCACGCATCATGCAAGAACCCCCACCCCGGACGAAGCCACCACCAAGGGGACGGCACGGACCAGGACAGAGATAGGGAGCCAGACTCGAAGCCCTTCTAAAATCCTCATCCCTCAACCAACACCCCCCACCAGAGATGTGATCCCNATTCCAAGCTCTATGCCCTAACCACTAGGCCGCTACTCCCCTAAGGGCCCCCATGCCCCATATCAAGAGTATTCACTGTACTGTTCTTTTACTTTTAGTTATCAGGCTCCTCTCCAGTGGAACCAACTACCAGTTTTAGTCCGTGAGGCAGGCACCATCTCTACTTTTAAGGGTAGGCTTAAAACTTTCCTTTTTGTTTAAGCTTATAGTTAGAGTGGCTCAGGTTATCCTGGGCTATCTCCATAGTTATGCTGCTATAGGCTTAGACTTCTGGAGGACATAGGGACCCCCATTTCATCATTCTGCTTCATTCTATCTCTTTTCTCTCACTCTGCATGTTGGGCTCTCTCTGCTTTTTTTTATAGTAGCTTTGCCTTGACTGTGTTGGGAGCTGGAGAAATACCAACTTTCTCCAGCAGAGTCCGCCGTGGATCCTCTCAGCTGAGCTGTCTGCGCACCTGCTGCTGATCATCTCATCTGGAGGACCAGACTACATAAGCTGTCTTCAGACCTTGCCTCGACGCCGCAGTGTCTTAATCAGTTGGTTAGCACCTAAGCCATAGATCCTCTGAGAACCTTGTTACTCCTGAGTCCTGTTTGGGTTCTAACCCTTTGTCTCTGCTTCCAGGTTTCCTGTTTTTCTCCTGTGAAGCTCTGGAAGAGCTTAATCTGCCGAGCCTGCCCTCCGAGCCAAACCTGAAGACCCACTCTCTGGATTTCCAAGCAGCTCTGGATACCGAGCTGGAAACTCAAGCCATGGTCAAACTCGTCTCTAGAAGTAAGACGCTGAAACAGCTTACGGACTCTGCAGAACCAAATCATCTCCGGACCCAACAGTTCCGCTCCCAAAGCCTCTTCTGCGCACTTCAAGGTACAAACCTGAACACAACCAAGATCAATCCCAGCCAAGCTTTCGCTAACACAACTGTCTCTCTCACAGACTCCAGTGAACCAGTCCCAGACCAGAACCAGTCTACTGTTCATTTAACTCATGCTTGTGCAACAATAAACTTGTTAAACTTTCCCTCTGAGTCGTCAGTGTTCTGCATCTTGGGCCTCTCTGTTTACCCATCATGACAGACTGATCCTGTTTGGCTGTGACTCCATCCTGGAGAGAAATATCAGCTGTGCTGCTGCCGTCAACACCTTTGTTTATAGATGTTGGAGATCAACCTGTTTTTTCCAGTGTAGTCCTGTTTCTCTGACTGTGACTGGCTGGATGTGCTCTCTTCATCCTCTAACAATGGAGTCAGAGCTCAGAGCTGGAGGTTTCTTTCTGTTAAAAGGGAGTTTTTCCTCTCCACTGTCGCTACAAGCATGCTTAGTGTGAGGACTTGCATTAGCTTGCTTAGATAGAAAACTTTGGATCAATTTGACTGTATGATCTGGTGAACTGTAAAGTGCCTCGAGATGACATGTGTTGTGAACTGGCGCTATATAAATAAACTGAATTGAATTGAATAGATATGAAA